CTGTCTGCTCACGGTGACGGTCCGCTGCCGCTGCCGCTGCTGCTGCCGCTGCCGCTGGCTCGAACGCAGCGTTTTTGCCGCTGCCGTGAGAATTCAGTATTGATTGTCGTTCAGCGAAACTTGTGCGCTGCATTTCGCCGCGCGCTGTCGTTTAATTACTAATGGATTAGTCGCTCATCATTGATCCACCGATCCTTCCTTACACACAGCATCCCTCCTCTCCTCCTCCTTTTCTTCCTCCTCCTTATCCTCTTGCTCCCCACAGACCGCGCCGATGCATTCAGTTTTGTTGAGATGGGCCGCGATGATGCAATACACGCGCGCGTGCGTGCGTGTGCGTGTGCGTGTGCGTGTGTAGATATATATACATGAATTGATGATGTGAATGCCTTGGCGCGTGCGACCTTCAGTAGGCATATCGATTCGACAGTATAGCGTGCAGTGATATCTTGCCAGCAGAGGGCGGCACCTGCCTTCGCATTGTAAGATGCTACATAATTTACATAATATATAGCGGTTTGTTTGACAACAGCAGACGCTATTGTAGTCGGGAAATCACAACTACACCGGTGAATTCACTGGATTTATTGTAAAGCTGTAAAAACTCAAGAATGACACAATAAGTCAGAATTAACGCACATTCATATTTAATCAATGCAATTAACATTTCTATCGCAAGGTTCTCGCTCCGAATCAATTCAACACATTGCCGCTTCTACCACAAAATCACTATAGCAGCACGACTATACTCGACCGGTAGATCATGCTGTCTCTAAACTACTCACTAAACCTCGCTATTTCTCTCCCTCTTGAAATCGACACGCGCTCTCGCTTTTATATGAGCTCCCGAAACAGGTTGTCTCTGCTTCCTTCACGTGACGTAGTTTTCCCACATCATCGCCGAATACGGTAACCAACCGAGCAAGCGTCTTCCCCGCGCTTCGCTCCTTGGCTAAAATACTAACTGCGCAGTTTGTCTCAAGTGACAGAATACACTTGGCCTGTGGCCGTGTTATTCTTGACATGATGAGACACTTTAGCTTGCGTGGCACAGAGCACGTATGCGAGTTCCAACACGCCGATACTCTCTAGCGTAGAGACCCGTGCTCTTCAGTCAGCTTCCCCATCCCGTGTTACTCCGTTTAACCGGCTATCATCCCATTCGCCGCTATAGCAAGCCCAAGTGTTGCTACTGCCATATGCAGCTACATTCATGTAAACTGCATGCTTACACTATATATATATATATATCATACATATACATATATATACTATATATATATATATATATATATATATATATATATATATAGCAAGACAGAGAGAAAGAGAGAGACAGACACGGAGAGAGAGACATCCACTCTGAAAGACACTCAAAGGACATGTACACATACACACGCAATTATTGATTATATCAGATGGGAATAAGAGCCATTTTAATTCACAGAATAATTCACAGTGTTTATTCACTCCAGATTATATATGTACATACGTCATGTCTGACACGGCTTAAACGAGAACATCGATCCAAAATTACCTGCATAACTTGCCAGCAGATGGCGTCACCTGCTTGTGTCTGTGTTCGTCTGTTGCAGTTGAAGAAGTGTGTACAGCTGGATGAGAAGCTGCGCGCGATGGACCAGGAGATAGCTGTCAACCCGCAGTACGTTCGAAAGGTAAGTACGTACGCGAGAAATCAGAATAGAGAGAATTAATGCCTCCTCTGTGTTCCCACTGCCTTCGTCCTAGAAGCCAGGGTCCTGTCGTCAGAAACAAAAGTAGTGTTAACATTGGTCTTAACATGAATTCTACGATTTTTCTGACAATGCACCTCAGGGTTTTGTCGTCAGAAACATGTAGTGCGTTCGATTTGCTTCCCCAGAGCCACTTGGGTTAACCTGGGTAAGAAATCGAACGCATCTAGGTTAGGGAAGATAAACTAACGGTTTTTGGGTTAACCCGGGTTAATTATCGTCATGGATGCCAGTGACAAGAAAAAAAGAATACCAATTGCAATCTTATTATTAATGAAATCTAAGAATGAGCAAACACAAGCAGTCATCGACAGTCATGCTTCATTACTGCTTGAAGATTTTTGATTTTTGAAGATTTTGAAGATGTTGTTGCAATGAATTGTGGGATACTTCCCCAAGTGAGCGGTTCGGCTAGCAGGTTACTTTGGCTTCACCCGGGTAACGCAAAAATACCACGTGACTGCCAAATCGAACGTATTTGGGGCTGGCCCGAGTAGACCCAGGTTAACTTGGGGAAGCAAATCGAACGCACTAATGATTAAGCTCGACGTTGGTTTTAACAGTAACTTTTTTCTCGTAGACAGGGCCGCTATACACTTTGCATGAGAAACTTAACAGTGTTATCTCCCGTCTCTAGCCAATCTGTCCTTCTCTCTTCCTTCGCCTATCCGTCCTATGCATCACCCCTTGCAGACCGCTGGAGGGGTGGGCTTCCAGCCTGACCGCTGTCCATCTGTGCTTGCAGAGCTCGGGGATGCAGGAGGATGAGTTGGCCAGCACGGTGATGGGAGGCAAGCTCGGACCGTTCGTCCCCCAGGGTCTTGACGTCCCGCTGCAGCCCTCACGCGACCAGCCCAAGTCCGGCGCCAGCAACGCAAAGCCCTGGGCGTGAGCACAGCGACGCAGCCGCCGGCGCCCGTCTACTTCCGTGGACCGGCGACGGCGGTGCTGAGTACGGGGCGTGAGTGCAGCGACGCGGGAGCCTGCGCCCGTCTACGTCCGTGGACCGGCGACTGCGGTGCCGAGCCCTGGGCGTGAGTGCAGCGACGCGGGAGCCGGCGCCCATCTACGTCCGTGGACCGGCGACGGCGGTGCCGAGCCCTGAGCGTGAGTGCAGCGACACGGGAGCCGGCGCCTATCTACGTCTGCCAGCGTGGTCCTGTGCCGATTCTCACGTGATACGAGTCGCAGAAGGAGATCTACAGTAAATGGCACAAACTGGTGTCAGTCTACACCCGTCGGTATAGACTGGGACAAGCCTACGATAGTTGCGAGAGACCGGTGGCTGTTCTACACCAGCAGGGTCAGTCTATAACATTGGTATAGACTGGTGCAAGCCTACGATAGTTGCAAGATACTGGGAGTCGTTCTACACCAGCAGCGTCAGTCTACAATGGCCAGGCTAGTTGTGCAGGCATGCATGCATTCTTAGTGACTCATTGTCGCTTCAGCAGTTCAAACATATTAAATGCTATCATCCTGTGTCATCTTGTGCCACACTGTCGCAATAGCTGCAGTCGTGTAGTGTGTTAACATGCTTACAGTGATACAGTAGCCCAGCCCAGCGCTTTATGGGGACAGGTCGGGAAACCACGAGATTGTCCCGATTAAGCGGTGAACATGTAACAACGTGCAAACAATTTATTTGTCACAGTCATGTTGGTTAAGTGATGCGCCTGTTTATCTAAGGCCTGATAAAGTGGGGGATCGTTGCATTTGCATCAGAAAAGCTCTGTTACTAGAAGCGAAGACATAGACACGATATCAACAAACGCGACCGCATAATTTTATCGGAGTTTTCAGTGTAATTTCTGTGCATGCACTGTCCACGCGAAGCAGCTAGAGGGGATAGAGCTTAACTGTAAACATTGTTGTAACTGTAACTGTAAGGTCAAGCAAGTGTCGTTGTCACCATGTGAAGTCTGGCTTTCATGCAGCGTTCCACGTCCCAGCATCTCTGAAAAAAATTGTCGTAGGTGGCGCCAGTGTTCCTCGCTGCGGTGTAGCTGCTTAATCGTGATGTAGGTGGCGCTGCTGTTTCTTGTTAGGGGTCACGCGCGCTGGAATTTTGCTGTCGTCAGTAAGGAAGTATAATAATAAACAGTTAACACATGGTTAAGTGTGTGTACAGAACTTTTTCATTCCCCATTTCACAGGGTGATTGGTGTGTTGGGATGAGGACTGTTTGGATTAAAGGGGACACATGCACAGAAACGCACGCATCCACACACCACACGAACACACGCGCATGCTAAAATATATTCTCAGCAGGATATGCATGGTTTACATATTTTATATTGTATTTTATAAATAATGTACACGTAACACAACAAACTCTGAAACAACAAACTGAAGTGCGTACTCAGGTACAATATTGATTCCGAGATATCTAAATATGAATAATAAAATTAAGGATGTCAGCAAATATAATTATAACTGAAAAAATAAAATTCAAAACAATTTTTTACCCTGTGCGAAATGGCCAAGTCAGTAGGAGCGGGTAGTGTTACATAGAGAGAGAGAACAGACCGGTGACAGTTTCGAATCCCCCGAGAAGAAAACTTTTTTCATTTTTTTCCATTAATATTGCTTTTTTTATGTTCATACTGTGATTCCGAGATTGCAAAATAACAGAATAAAATTAGGAACGCCAGAAAATATAATTATAAATGTAAAAATAAAATGCAAAACAATTTGCTCTTGGTCGGAGTCACCTGTCCTTATCCGCATGGCTATCGCGCAACTGAAATTTTTCCCCTGTCCGAGATGGTAATTCAGTAGGGGCGGGGATAGTTACAATAATGTAACCCAAACACGGGATAGGGTTACAACGCGAGCCTATCCTTTTGTGTGGAGGAACCCCTGAGTAAATCACACGTTTTCAGAGTCTATAACTTTCAAACTGGGTTTATTCTCAACACGAACCCTTCTCCGCTATTCTGGAACTTTTACTTTATTTTTACTATATTCGTTCAATTTCTAATGTTAGCTATTTTCGCCGCGGTAAAATGAACGAAGTCAGTCATCGTGATAAACATTTTGCATATCCAGCTACTCCTGCGTATGAGCACACTACGGGTTTATAATTGAGTTTGAATAAAATTATATAAGCATAAGCAGTATACGCAGAGCCGTATAAGCACGGCCAGGGATTGGCAGGGGGCAGTTGGTCCCCATGCAATGACAAACTCCACGGTCAAGTGTCCAGCAGGTAAAGCGCGCGTAGCCATGCCCTTCCAGGCAGAATGAGCTAGCTACACCCTTATTTCTTCACTTCTGATAATATCAGGAGTTAATGAGACAAATTTGTCTCATTAACATCTTAATAATATATACATATACTATTCTCATGCACTACCCATCGCACACACAGGCACTTGAAGTGTTTCAATAAAATATAATTGCCCTAAATAAATACGAAATCTATTTACTACCAAATTCTTAATGTTTCTATACTCTCTTTGACCTATTATTGCGACAGTTTCCTGTAAATTCCGTCCAAATCCTATTTGCCACATACGGCTTGCGCCGCCATTTCCTCATCCGCGCCTGCACTTGTGGCACACTTACACTTATAGTGTAAAATAACTATAGTTGTGGCGTTTCGCGTTTGCGATTCTTTCTAATGCCTGGTCCTAGCAGCACGCCAGCGTGTGGCGTTTTCCGGCGTGATTCCTCTGTTCACGCGCACCGACAGTGTGGCATTTCTTCCGTTGCTTCTTCTTCCTCACGAACGTTATCTCGTGATCGTATAGTACCTTGTTGCTGTTGTGTTTCCTGTACCTAGCGGCAGTATATCGCCGGCTCTTCGTCGGTACTGCGGAAGTGCGTGAGTAGTGCCGTGGGTGTAGCTCGACAGAGATACTACACCACAAGCCGGAATACGTTTTAAATGGCTTAAGAGAGCCGTTCTAATTCATACAAAAACATGTCGCCATTCGCGGAGGTGACACACACAGTATAACGTTAACGCCCTTGGTTGAAATCCAATCTAATCCCCATCTCCTTTCGTCCCCACGCGTAAAAGTTTACGTTTTACTACTAAACTATCTCCTAAATTAACGCTACCTAACTTTAAACTCTCTCCTAATTTTCTATATTCACTCTTACTTAACCCCCCATCTAAACTGCCTACTTCCCTGCACGCTAACTTTAAACTTCTCTCTCTCCTAAATATTCTATATGATAAGTTACCCTTCCACATTACTAATCTTGTGGCGCGGTAAAGTACTTCCTTATATACGCCCCCCCGCGGATTCAAAATACAGCTTCTCATTTACCAACCGATGAAGAATCCTTTAGCGTTGAAAGTACCATGTTTGGCGCTGTTATTTATGGCTTCCGCGCATCGCTCGGATTGAAGATGCACTGATCTCCTCATAGGCACAATCACAGCGCAGCTTTCGCGCCAAAATACCCACGCGCACGCGCAACTGGCGTTTGTAACATCGCGGCGTTGAAGACACACGATCTCTAGGCTGACGACAGAGCTTCACGCCAAAGTACACACACGCCACGCCGCAATGGCCATTCACATCGCGGATTGGAAGACACACATTTCTAGGCCCCACACACAGACGCTTCGCGCTACATACGTGCATGCACGTGGCCAATGACACAATCGCGTAAGTCGACTACTAGACCCAGAAATACAAATGGCCCTGGTTGTAAAACCTTACTATCTAAAACCTGCGCTGACATAGTAATACAGTTCGACTTTGCTCGCGCTTTCTGTTCTAAAAGCCACGCACGCTTTGGTCATTTTGCGTGACCCTTGCATGGGCCTGCTAGTCCGGATGCAACAGTGGAAATACATCCATGGGGGCTGAATGCCACCGAGTCCTTCCGAGCGGCCTACCTTCTTACGGCCGTGCGCCTACCCCTGGCGTCGCCCCGCGCACGAGTGGACGCCCCCACGTAACCCGCTGCGCTGTAGCCAGCCGCACGCCGCCGCGTCGTCGCGCATGTGTTCCGTTCACCGCCGGCGCGTACTATGCGCCTCCCGGCGCACACTATACTCGCCGGCCGGCGCGTTACACGCCACCCCCGGCACACACTATCTCGCCGCCGGCGCGGTCCGCGCACTCCCGCGGCGCACACTATCTCGCTCGCGCGGCGCACACGGCGCAACTCCCGGTTTCGCCACACTATCTCGCCGCCGCGCGCGCGTACACGCGACCCCCGGCACACCCTATCTTGCCGGCCGGCTGCGTACGCGCAACTCCCGCGCGCACACTATCTTCGCCGCCGGCGCGTACCACGCACTCCCCGGCACACACTATCGCGGCCGCCGGCGCGTATCCACGCCACCCCGGCGCCAGCATATCTCGGCCGCTGTTGCGGCGCCGCCACACGCGACTCCCNAGAGAGAGAGAGAGAGAGAGAGAGAGAGAGAGAGAGAGAGAGAGAGAGAGAGAGAGAGAGAGAGAGAGAGAGAGAGAGAGAGTGAGAGAGAGAGGGGAAAAGATAGGGAGATAGGCACGATGATTGGGAGGGAGAAGTAGAGAAACTGACAAAGAAAGATAGGGATGAAATTCAGGAAACAGAGGGAGAGCGATGCGAAGAGAGAGGGGGAGAGAACGAAAGAGGAAAGGAGACAGATATAGAGAGAGATCGATCGCGCTATGGTAGGGGAAGAACCTAAGAGGTTGGTAAGTGTGTGCGTGAGTGCTTATAGCATGACACTCGTCCACTCGCTTGGAAACCTTAAATCACAGCTCTTTTCCATCCTACACCCAGCCAACTATACTAACTATTTCATCCGAAGTGGCCAGGCACGCACGTACGCACGCACGCACGCACGCACGCAGGCAGATAGGCAGGCAGGCAGGCTGGCAAGCAGGCAGGCAGGCAGGCAGGCACGCACGCACGCACGCACGCACGCATGCAGGCAGGTAGGCACGCAGGCATGCACGCATGCAGACAGTCAGGCATACTGGCAGGCAGGCATATTGGCATGCAGGCAGGCAGGCAGGCATGCAGGCAGTGGCCGAGTGCAAGCATGCATGCACGCCACGCGGTGTCAAGCGAGCGTATTGTTTGCATAATATCACCTAGCCGCATTAATTCGCTTCTAGCAAAGGTCGTGCAAATACAGTCAGTGCTGATCATGCTCAGCCACGCTCAACCTATACCTTCCCCGATAGAGAGCTACACACACGTACGTGCACGCACCCACGCACACATTCACGCACACAGATATACACATATACGCGCACTCACACAGATATACACATGTAACGCGAACGTACACAGATACACATATACGCGCACTCACACAGATACACATACGCGCACGCACACAAATACACATACGCGCCCGAACACAAATATACATACGCGCACGCACAAAGATACACATACGCGCACGCGCACAGATACACACGCGCACGCACACAGATACACATACGCGCACGCACACAGATACACATACGCGCACGCACACAAATACACATACGCG